TATAATATTAATACAATATAATTGTGTGTTTCTGTGTGTGTGAGTGTGCATGTGTGTGCATGCAATTATCATTCTGCATTGTACATCTCTGGGAACAAAGGCAGATGCACTTTCTAATTTAAGACTCTTTGTTGTTGTTACAGGTCTATAAAAAGAAAACCGAGGCTGCAAAGAAAGAGTACCTGAAGCAACTAGCAGCATACAGAGCCAGCCTTGTATCCAAGGTAACGTGCTATTGTGTGGTATTGTGTCGGATTGTGGCCATCTTATTGCAGACTGTGATGGTCATTTAAAGGCATAAAAGATCACTTTAGCATTTCTGCACAATCTTCTTTGTTGGGAAAAAAAGTAAATCCTAAACAAAGCGATATAGCTGTATGTTATGGAAATATGTGTTGATACCTAAAAGACCGGAGCAGTATCCTCCGAGCCTTCTTTGAAATATTGTCCACCTGTGGATTATTGGTTTTGTGGATTAGTCACAGCGCATCCTTAATCCTGAGCCAATTTTCTATTTCTCTGCATCCTGCTCTTAAATTGCCTCCCGCTTTGTACCCCGTCCATTGACCTTTGCTGAGGAGATACCAACTGTTGAAATTTAGCCTCATTACAGCATCATTAGGATGTAAGCTGGCCTCCCCAGTCCTCGCTCCCCCCAAAAATGTTTGCATTATTTCATTTGAAACTGAAAAATGCCACTTAAAAATATTTTATGCTTTAAAATATCTTAAACACTAGTCCTTTCTGTTATAAGTACTCAAGAGTTGACTGTTTGGTCTCAGGTTATTAAAGATGTATTTCCCTTTATAGATTTCTCAGGGAGGCAACCTCAGTGAGATGGGGCTGTATTTATAGGTGCTTGGTGTTATGTCATCTCAAGCCTAAATCTGGCTGTTATTTGGTTCAGTGTGCCTTGGGGCTCTGGAATTCATTTTATTCACCCATGAAGAATACTTTCTCTGTTATCCACAAATAGCCATCGTCCTTCTAACAACTCCAAAGTAATTATATAAATTCATTTTTATAGGGGAAAATATATGCTGAATATACTAATGCAGAACAGAAAAGAGAGCAGAAATACATGTGGATAAAAATTGCAGTGTGCCAGTGGCCTAATACAACTTTATATTCCACTTCTAAGCCATGACATTGTGGAAAAACTTGCTATTTATTACTTAACCTAAAAATTTCTAGCTCTCCTGTACTCTCTCACCAAAGAACTAGCACTTCCTAATTTATATAACTCCTTTTGAAGCTATTTATATTTTCTGCTGATACTATCTCACATTTCTGTATATTTATAGAAGTCACAGAATGTGTATAAAATCATAGCAAAAAAATAAGATATAAATTATTAGATCTATCCAGCCATTGGGTTAATTAGTCACACTGATATTATTCAAACTAATATGCCCAAAATGTAAAGAGGACTTTTAAAAAGTGGAATAAGATTTCATCCAAGATGAAATTTTCTTTTTGAGCATTTTAAATAGAGAGTTAGTCAGAGCATTTTACATCCAAGAAAATCAATCCATAATGCCTCAAGCCCCAGACAAAACCCTCTGGTTAGTGCTCTGTGGATTGCCAGAATGCTGTGATACTGACTAAGCCTTTGCTTTCAAAACAAGTGCCCTCAGATCTACTCTTAGCTGCAACTTTTCTTACTATTGATTCTCAGAGTTGCAAACCTCAGTATACGGCAATTTGTATAAATGCTGCGAATTGCCATATCTACATTTAAAAACCCAAGCATATTTTTTACAGCTTACTCTGACGTTTTTCTTCTCTTTGGCAGCAGGAATTCTGCTGGAACTGTTGAATGTGTGTTTATGTACAGCCATGTATTGTGTGTATACAAATTGAAGGAAATTACAAACACCCTCTCCAGGTTAGAAAAAAGCGGCCCTCTGATATTGTAAGGGAGTGGATATTTGCAGTATAACCTTGTAGGCGTGTACAGAAAATTTACCAGCCTACTCTCCCATTGAGATGGAAGTGTGTAAAAATCTGTTTATTTTTCATTTTGTGTTTTGTTCTCGTGTGACTGTTCTGACATGTACAGTACTTAGTTCCTTTATGTATGTATGTATGTATGTATTTACTAGAGGCCTAGTACACGAATTTCATGTACTGGTACGGTCCCTAGCAGCTGCCGGCTGCCGGCCGGGTACTCCCTCCCCTCCCACAGCCACTTGCTGCCGCCACCAGCCAGGGCCTCCCTCCCTTCCCCTGGCCAGCCCCGCCCCCTGGTCGAACTCCCGGACAACTCCCGGTGGAGGGGACAATTTGCATACTACCCTTTTATTATATCGGATTCTCACCCACCCTCCATGCCCCTCCCCTTTGGTAACCATCAGCTTGCTCTCTGTATCTATGAGTCTGTTTCTGCTTTGTTTTGTTTATTCATTTGTGAGTGTTTTTCAGATACCACATATAAGTGAAATGAAAAGAAACCATTTCTATTTTAAGTTGTCACAAGGAAAATAATAGCCATTTATACTTATACACATGTTTTTCTGTGATAATTTTTTAGTATGTTATAAATTATTTCCCTATTCTGAAAGATCTAAAGGTGCCATCATAAAACACTCCATGATACTGATAGTGACCATTTCAGGTAAGCACACCCACCAGCCAGGTTTTGTTCCCATTCACTCAATCATACATTTATTCAGCAGCCCCCCGGGCATGTGATCTGTACCAAACACTGTGCCAGGCTCGGGGCACAGTGGGGACCAGGCAAATGCATCCCCTGCACTTAAGGAATTTTCTCTTTCGTCTGGGAGACCAAGAGTGAAAACATAAGCTAGTAAATGACCAAGATCTTTGAGAATCTAAGCATTCAGAAGGACATAAAGCAAGGGATTGGACAGGGTGAACTGCAAAGTCCTCTTTGAAGTTGTGACCTTGGAGCTGAGAGCCAGAGGCAGACAGGAACTGCAGCCCCGAGGGAGCTGAGGGGGACCTGCAGCAGGTGCAAAGGCTCGGGGACAAAGTGACTCCGGGCACTGAGAGGTCGATGCAGCTGGAGCTGATGACAGAGGAAGCCTGGTTTGAAGTGAAGCTGGGGAGGTGGGCAGGGGCCACTCACCAAGGCCTTGCAGGACATTGAAAGGAACTGTGTTTATCCAGAATGAAGGGAAGCCACTGACTGAGCTTCAGTAGGGATGGCATGATCGGATTTATCTTTCTAGCAGGTCCCTTTATGTGAATGAATTTCCTCAGCTATCTGACCCCACTCTCAGTCTTTGTGCTGGGCTGTGCTGCTCATGGGTCCGGACAGCGTGCTTGACCTGCTTTCTTACACTCCCCCGGCCCCAGGAGCCATGGCGGAGCACTGACTCTCTCCTCTGAGGTCACTTTGGCCAAGGAAACACTCTCCTAGGCAGGGAGCATCATGCCCTTAAGTTCTTGCTTTACTCCTCCAGAGCTGCATATTTGGGTGCTTGCTTTCTGTGCGATGCATTTGTCCCACCAAATAAGACTGCATTCCTAGCCCATCGCTCCTCCCCTCACTAATCTGCGGCCTGGTCTGGTCTGCCGCCGCTTGTGGCTTCCAGTCCAGGCCGCACTCCGCGTCCGCCCAGGGCTGCACGACACCTGCTCCGTGTCAGGCACGGGGCTAGGTGCTGAGAGCACCGAGCTGAATGCAGCACATCAAAGGAAAACGTTTCACGGGACTTGAAAGGTTTGCCACTGCAGTCTAAAATTAGCTGCTTCTTACGGAACATAATCAAAAATAGAAACAGCCTGGCTCCACCATGAACCTGAGGCATAAGATTAACAGTGTCCCTCTCCTTTCAATATTTCATGTTATGTTTTAGTGGAAATCTGCTTTAGACCATCTAATCCAACAAATTCATTAACATGACTCCAGGCCTGGATAAAATAGAAATCTACCAAAAATAAAAAAGCTCTGTCATAATAAATGACTGTTCTAACTGTCATAACTTCAAAATGATGGTACTGACACATCCTCAGAAGGACACTGAATTTTTTTCCAATAACACAAATAGGAAGAGTGTCTTGCTACCAAGGTGCTTCTACGTGTCACACACGGTGCTAGACATTTTATGTAAATTCCTAGGAATCATCGCAATAACCCTACAAAGTAAGATTTAGACCCATTTTCTAGACAGTCCCTGGGCAGGGAGATTAAATGACTCGCCCACAGTAAGGAGAGTGGCAGATCGAGGACCCAGACTCCTTGCTGTCTCGTTCCAAAGCTTATAGGTTTTCTCTATCATGAGTGATTACCAAATATGTATTTATTTATTTATTTATTCAAATTCTTTATTCTTGAAAGTATTACATATGTCTCCTTTTCCCCCCACTGGCCTCTCCCAACCTGCTCCCACCTCCCAGCACAGGCCTTCACCCCCCTATTGTCTGTGTCCATTGGTTATGTTTATCTGCATGCATACAAGTCTTTTGGTTGATCTCTTACCCATCTCCCCCTTACCCTCCCCTACCTTCCCTCTGAGGTTTGACAGTCTGTTTGATGCTTCTATGTCTCTGGATCTATTTTTGTTCATCAGTTTATATTTTAGAACTACAACCTCTTGTTATCTCCAACAAAAGTCTATGCCAGCTCTTACATATTAGACAGCTAAGAGGACAGCTGCCCTGGCTTAAAGGAAGCTGGGGGTAGAAGGCCGGCACCCTCTGAGGAGCCTGGGGCCTGCAGACACTCTAGAAAGCATTGCTCTGTGCCACACTCTCCCAGCTGTGCAGCAGCCTGGCCTGGCCACAGGGAGCCTGTGACAGGCCGCCCAGCCACAGGCCACGCCCTGCTGGGCAAACACATCGGAATTGAAGGACCCATGAACAGAGCACAGAGTGTTGAAACACAACACTGGTCAGACTCTGGAATAATTTATTCAATTTGGGCTCTATAATTTAAACAGGGAAGTTGGACAGATTTCAGAGGAAAAAGGCATGAAAGTGACTGAAATTATGCTAAGTGAAATAAGTCAGACAGAGAAAGACAAATACCATGCAATTTCACGTGTATGTGGAATCTCAAAAACAAGATAAGCGAAGAAACAAAACAGAAACACACTCATAGAGACAAAAAACAAACTGATGGTTGCCAGATGGAGAGAGGTTAGGGGATAGGTGAAAAAGGTGAAGGGATTAAGATGTACAAAGTGCCAGTTATCCAAATAGCCACACGGATGTGAAGTGCAGCAGAGGGAATAGAGTCGGGATTGTAACAGCTGTG